GATTGCACACAATCTTGCTTTCCGAAAAGGTATTCTCTTCCTGGAAGGAGTGGACAGCAGTTTCGGCCTCGTTCACACCTTATCAGTGCCCCCAGCAGGACTCGAACCCTGCAAGTGCAGCATATAATCTCGACACGTTAACATCTACGTCATATCACCACGAGTGTGTTTAAATCCCAGTCAGATGTAAACTTCGAGATGGGCAATGCATTCTTGCATATCGCATTTCGTCGTGGGAATGTCGATAAAGTATAGTTTAATTTGTTATGCCAATTAATTGTACTACTTATATGGGATTTATGTAGTAGGTTTTCGAGACTATCAGTAGCTCATATATACGAGGCATATTCAACCTATTTCGTTTAAGGTGACAAAGGGACTTGCAGGTGAATTCTCTTACAATGCTGTGAATGTACCGTACGTTTCCATTGCCTTGCTCGAAATGCCCATGTGTCCCGTGTCCCAAGGGCATTGGTGGTCAACGTGTCGAGATTATGCGCCGAGTTGTCATGGCTCGAGTCCCGCTGAGGGTGCGGATGAGATAAGAACACGCGAGGTCGAAGCCACTACACTTCGGCCGAGATGAGATTACATTTTGCAAAGCAAAGCCAGTCCTGTTTGTCTGTCCTCTCTGCTCCTTGTCCCGTATTCAGGCCCATCATTCGTGGGCCCGAATCCTCGCGTGTCTATTCTTGCTGTCGTCAAGGGAGTCATGTGAGGATAACGGTTGTGACAGCTGAGCTTGGCGCCAAGTCGGAAGCCCGACTTGTGTGATGTGGCAACAAATGGTTTGGTTTTCTTTTTCTTTTTCCTCCAGCTACTGAATAGGTGCTCGGATTCGTCTGGCCCAGGTCCACAGGGCAACCAGTGTCCAGCCGGTCTTGATGGTCGCCGTGGTCAACCGGTAGTCGCGACAGAGGCGACATCATCGAGGCTGGGCATAGAGACTCAGATCGTCGCGGCAACCAAGACAGCCTCCCTCCGACTCGACTCGATCTGTGTCCTGCGTATGCTGCTGGATGTGGCGCGAGCAATGGAGTACCTCGAACAGCGTCAATTCACGCCGTGGGTGAGTATGAAGAGGAAGAATTGCACAGACTTGTTCGTCTTTCAGCGCCACAACTGACTGTCCGTTTCTCTCACCAACCGTTGCAACACGGAGCAAAGACTCGACTCTCGAGTAGAAGTAAAATAGGCATGAGATTTGATCATGCATTTTTTCTTTGGCATTACACAAGACACACATTTTAGTTTGCATTAAAATGTAGGCTTTTTAGAATATGCTTAAATGACATATTTAAGATGATTTATCCTACTTCATTTCGCGTGATACGAGGACTGGTAGTCGAAATTTTCCCATAATGATATGTGCAGACGTTTTTTGTATAAGATGTATTCACCCGATTCCGTTTAAGGCGATGAAGGACTGGTAAAAGTAGAAATTTCCCACAAAGATATGAGTTGAGCTGACGTTTCCATTCAATTTCACATTGTCTTGCTCTGCCAAAAGTTGTTCTCATCCCAGCTGGAGTGGACTGCAGTTTCGACCTCGCATCAACTGGTCTTATCAACACCCTCAGCGGGACTCGAACCGCAACAGTGCAGGATGGGAGCTCGACACGCTA